AGGTTGACAACCACTGTCCTTAACGTTGCATTGGTCAGGCCTGTATTATCCATATCCGTCATCCCCCTGCAGTTACATATCATCATATACCTCATGGTTGTTGTTGTTGTGGGTGGACACTGTAAAAATCTACACCTATTAAAAACACAAACAAAAAAACAGTATTTAGCTCCCCTCTGCTGGATTTAACCTCCCCTGTTGCTTTTAGGGATGTCTTCTGTTTTTTCTTCTCTTATTTTTATTTCTTTATTCTTTTCAGTTCACTTCGGCGGTTTGTCAGTATTTATGTGCTAACTCTATGTACACTGCATTTTGCTAGGAATAACGGATTTTGTACACCCACTCAGTCCTTAGAAACGCAGAAAAATAAAATAAACTTTCTTTGGGGTGGTAATAGAATGTCTTTACAGATGGCCAAGCTTATTGATTTTATTTATTTTATTATTTTAACTAGTATTTCCTTATACTTTCTTTTCCTGTTCTTATCGAGGACTATATCTCTTTGTGCTATCACTGTGTACACTGTATCTCCCTGTGAATGGTGTAACGTAGGCACAGTTTCAGTCCATGAGAAAGCACACAAACAAAATAAAACTTAAAGTCTCTGTGGCACCTATAATACGACTTGGTTTCAGCTGGCAGTGGTGCCTTTCCAGCCTGCTTCCCAATTTGTATTCACTTTAAGTTATTTACAACCTCTTCCGCGGTCTCTGATGATACTATGAACTGATTAAACTAAAGACACAGTACTACACTCCCTGGTTGGCCTTTATCACAGCCATGACCACAACTTAATAAAAAAAAAGTTTTGTCATATGGCAATGATTTTGTGGTTGTATGCCTCCTGACCTGGGATGTACCCCCAACTGGTTGGAAATTCAGTTTTTAAAAATACAATCGCCTCTAGCATTAAAAATCCTTCATCGATTTACACTTTCCTATCACTAAGACGGTCTTGATGATCTTTTGTAATCACTGTCCAGTTTTAATGTTATCAGTTATATTCTAATAAAAGACTAGGTGGTGGCAGACTACCCTTGCAAGTATAATAATGATTTTGATAAGTAAGAGGAAGATATAAGAAATAAATACTGACACTGAAAGAAAAATAATAAGTAAGAGAAGTTAAATATAGAAAATGAAGTAATAAACAGACAGAAATAAAGACTTTGAAATGATATTAACTTAGAAAACATGAATATAGAAATAACAGAAACTATGAAAAAAAAAAATAGTTAATATTATAATTCTGCCCAGATAATATCAGTAAGTTGGATAAGAATGATATATATATATATATATATATATATATATATATATATATATATATATATATATATATATATATATATATATATATATATATATATATATATATATATATATATATATATATGTAATATTCAGAAATTTCAGTGTAATTTCAAACGCCGTGCCATTGGCGATACTGAGTTTTCAAGGTCGTCTGAGGGAAGAGAGTGCTCCCCACACATAGCGAGAGGTTTGTGGAACTAGGCCTATATGAGATTAAATGTAATTTGCCGAATTAATAATGATGCGATTCATGAAGTTAAGGGACTATTATTGAATTTGAAATTATTATAGGTCGTTTATCAGTCTGAATAATGTTACGGATGTTCCAAGGAGGTATTAGTTAGGCTGAAAATATGTCACGTAGGCCTAAGCTAACGCCTTGAGAGGACACGAGGCTGGCTAGCTCTGAGTCACGAGGAAGCATTCGGATCAACAAGACGTCCCTGCGCGTCCGTCACAGAAATAGTCACGTGGCCTAGTCACCTGTGTTGCGCTATTGCAGTATAACAAGTAAGTCTCATTCGATCTCAGACAGGGTTTAGATAGGGCAGTGATAAAGTTAACAAGAGCTAACAGTGAGTTCATTTCAGGGTTTCCGTCAGAACCCACTTGACTGCGAGAAATTGACTGCGAGAGTGATGACTGCGAGAGATTGACTGCCGTTTGAGACTGCCGTTGATGATTGAGAATTGGCGATTGTCGCCGTTGGACCGATCAGTGTAGGCCTGTCACTGTTTAGCGGGGTATCAAAGGATCTCTTGAGTGAATCTAGCCGCCTGGGTGCCCAGCTAACGACAGGAGGATCGTTGGGGTCATCAGCTCTCCTCCACCTCGGCTCACAATACCACATATCTCAAGCAGCTTAGTGAAACCCTTTTGCTAACGGGAAGCTAAAGCTTCTCTCAACTGTACAAGGTCTGATTGGCTCACTCCCTTCCGTTTCATGGATGTACTGGGGGTAAAGTGAAGCCAGCTGAGTGATACAGGGTCGCACACTGGGGCCAAGAGTCAGTGGAGTTTAGAGGTACACTTCCCAAGGTGGAAAAAGGCTGATTTGGGCCTTAAGCTACGGGTGCCTGTTGGTTGTGCCTTAAACGGCTACGGAGTGCAGGTGGAATCTGTGTGTGTGTTAGGTTAGGAAGCATGGTTCACGGGTATTGGACTCAGTGACTTCTTAATAATAGTGACAATATTTTTGTGTGTAGTTGATACTATTTTTTCAGTTACTAATGTATACTGTGTGCATTTAATATTTCTTTATAATCTCAATCTCAGGTATAACCTTTGTTCTCCAGAGTAGTGCTTAAGTTAGGTTAGGAAGTGTGCATCTGTTGGGGTAATGTAATTTTGTTGAGTGCCCTTAAGGCCTATTCATTGTAGAGTTAATAATTTCTTATTTTTTAATACCATTTTCTCAGTGCTGGATATTATTTTGTTGAAAGGCCTTAAGGCCTGTTTCATGTGTGCAAGCAACATTTCTTAATACTTTAAACTTATTGTTCTCTAATGAGGCATTGCCTGAGTGTCTAATAATTTTAACATCATGTATAACTTTTATTCCCCAGAGTAGTGTTTTAAGTTCAGGTTAAGAGGTGCGCATATTGGTGTACCATTATTGATTGTGTTTGTAGTGTTGGAGGGAATATAAGTGTAAATTTTACAGTGTGTCTCATTCATCCCAGTCACAGACGCTATCCTTCCACGGGTCACGGACAATTCATTTTGTTTAGTAAATTTAAGTGCTCTTGTGCTGGTTCGGGATTTCTCTCTAAGGGGCGCTTCCACTGCAATTACCATCTAATAATCTTTAATAAACCCCAAGTCAAGTGAGAAATTAAAGTCCAGTAATTCCGACCGGTTACATATATATATATATATATATATATATATATATATATATATATATATATATATATATATATATATATATATATATATATATATATATATATATATATATATATATATATATATTGATAAAATCACTCAGGGAAAAGGGAAACAATGGAGCACCTTAGCTTTTGTCTTTATTCAATACATCTTCCGAGGCAACTGAATTACAAAGACAGAGAGAGAGCTTATGTACACAGGGTGACCTTACAAAACACGAGATCAGGTCAAAAACCATGACATCCACTAACCCACACACCAACCACACAGCAAACATAAGAAATTATAAGAACGGGTAACATAACTAGTCATGTCAAGTCAAGGTATAAAATATGAGCCCACTAATCATCTATCCTACATCTATCTTAAATGCTTTAAAAAAAAAATCGATTCTATAGTTGTGAAAAACTGCAATAATACCAATCTCCCTATTTTGGCCCAAGCATATGAAAGAAAACACACAAAAAGTCTGTGAATAGGAGCAAACTCTCTAATAACACCCATTACTGGCGTAAATCATGATCCTACACCTTTCTAAATAAGCTAACTCACTGGGGCTACCTCCTCAACAGGCTAACTGCTATGAAATTATTTCTCGACCACGTAATTTACAAAACTAAATTAAACCTAACTTTGTCTTAATGGTAGGTAGGGTTAGGCCCTAACCTTACCTCATATGAATGATGCATAAGATAAAAATAATGTGGTTCAAAATGCAATAATACCGATTATTTTCCACATTACATTTACGTTTGTTGCTCCTTTGGGAAGGTTGAATGTTGA